CCTCGGCATGGTGTTGTCTGCACCACGCTCAGCCAGTAAGCGCACCGGCCATCCCTATATAGGACCCGAACCCACGGCCTCGGTGCTACTAGCACCGCACTCTCCCGAGTGAGCCACGGGGCCGGCCCTCGTGTGTAATCTTTTAAAATATTCTTATGTGTGTGTGTGTATATATATATATTTTATTTATTTATTTGGTGGCTGGCTGGTTGTATATATTTTTTTCTTTTTTTCTTCATGTTCACTGGTGGAGTATAGAAGTATTTTTTTGATCTATATAATTTGTGCTTTTGTTATTCATAAAGACATAAGCATTTACTCATGTTTTTAAAAAACTCTTCTTAAACACCATTTCCTGAAAACATACTGTTTCACTGTGAAGATACAACATAGCCAGTCACTGGTGCTGAACATCTAGACTGCTTCCAAATTTTTACTACTATAAATATCACTGCAATGCATATTTGTCTACAGAAAGAAGTCTTTTTCTAATTCATTTAATCAAAGCACTGTCTGTGTGCATAAAGGCTTTTCATACATATTGCTAAATTCCTTTCAATATTTTTCTTTCACTGGTAAATGGATAAGAATCCATATTTCACTAAACCTTCTCTAGCATTTATTAATTAAAAAATATTTTCTAAAAGAGAAAATTTATTGTTTTGTTAATCTGCATTTCTTTGATTATTAGTGAGACTGAACATTTTTCCAAGTTTATTAATCACTTACATGTCCACATTTGTGAATTCTTTTCTTATGTAATTTAGTCAATTGTCTAATTGGAATCCTAGTATTTTTCTTATTGATTTCTATGATATAATTATACCAGCCTTTTAGCATAGTTGTCTACTTTATATTTTTTCAGGGTTTTTTTTTTGTTATTATTCAACATTATTTCTATAAAAGGTTTAATTTTTAATGTACTCCAAATTATTAAACTCTTTTATTTTCCTCCAATGTGTTTTAATCTTAGAAAGTTCTTTCCTATTCAGAGGGCAAATAGATATACACTGATACTTTATCCTAGTTTTTTAGAGGTGCTTTTTGTTGTTGTGTTGTTTGCTTGGTTCTACATTTAATTTTTTAATTAAATTGTGACATTATTTTGGAAATTCTGGGTGAAAAAAAGCTTTAAAGTGATTTCCCTAGGTTATCTATATTTAAATATTTAAATGGGAACCACATGTACAGATATGGATTGGAGAATTAAATTGGCTTTGCATGGCTTAAAGAGAGAATTAGAACTGATGGATTAAGTTACAGCTTTTGGATATCATAAAAGAACANTTAAATATTTAAATGGGAACCACATGTACAGATATGGATTGGAGAATTAAATTGGCTTTGCCTGGCTTAAAGAGAGAATTAGAACTGATGGATTTACAGCTTTTGGATATCATAAAAGAACATTCTAAGTGGTGATGGTATTTAAAATATTAAACTACTGTTAGGGCATATGCTCCAAACATCCCAGTGGATGCCAGCTGAAAAGAACTTGTAGTGGCCTTTCAGTGTGACAGGATGAACATCAACCCTGCTTAAAAGGAACTAAATATGAAATGAGCCACCTTGGGGATAACGGTCAGTGACCATATACCTCAGGGAATCCTGGAGAGTTCTGGTTTATGCCTGTTTTCCAGGCATGATTACTTTTTGGTGCTTTTTCTCAGTTTTAATGCTCTCCCAATTTAGATGACCCTGGTTAGAGGTACTCCCTCAGTGAAGGTATTCACTAAACTGTGGCCAACCAAATTGATGGGCATGGAAGAAGGAATTCTGGCTTTTAATGTAGGGCTGCACTAGGGGTTTTCCAGGTCCT